AATTCAGAAGAAATCCGGACAAATCAGAAATCACACGAAAATCGGGCAGCACAACGGCTGTATACGGAATTTATACAATTTTTCTGAAAAATCACAGAATACCAAATTTGCACATAATATAGATAACAACATTGCAAGACTTTAATTCTATTGCTCAGACAATTTTAGACTACACAGAAAAATACAGTCAACGGAAAACGCCGTCAAATCAAAACTACCAGGACAAAAATCTCCAGAAAATAATCAAAATGTGCACACTCGGCACGTCAACATCATACAGGAAATTAAGCGGTAAAAACTGAACCAGACGGGAAATACGGACGAAAATCACTAACAAAAATCAATTCCGGACAGATAATACCGCCAAACACGACGGTTCTGAAAATTGAGAAAGGCGGATTGTGCCTTACCTTGCGTACAACAATATCTTCAACAGTCTCGTCGAACGAAAACGGCCCGGCGTCGCCCAAAAATCAACTTCTCCACTTTTTCCTTCGTTTTTCTCTCTCCTAGGCTTTTTCTCTCTCTTCAAAATATCTCATTTCTATATATATCCAGACTGATCGTCCCGGACGATCGCAACTTCGTCCCGGGACGAAGTGGCTCTGGACAAATTTCGTCCAGACGAATTTCATGAACGTCCCCGGCGACTGGTCCTCTGGAAAATTTTCGTCCAGACGATCCAAATTTCGTCCAGATGATCCATGCAGCCAGAACTGTTTTCCTGCCTGTACCGATCGTCCCGGATGATCCAACTTCGTCCGGACGAACCTGGAGCAAAACTGATGTTACAGGATTCACTTCGAATCATACGATGAATGTGAAGGGGGAAATAGTAGGCATGGAGGTGGTTGTTTTGATTGACAGTGGGGCTACCCATAATTTCATTTCCACTCAGGTCCTCAACCAACTGGGAGTGAAATTGGTGGACTCCGGTTATTATGGGGTGATGATGGGTACAAGGAAGGTAGAGAAAGCCTAGGGGATCTGTAAAGGAGTGGTGTTGACCATCCAGGAGATTCAGGTAAGGGATGATTTTCTCTGAGAGTTAGGAAGTATTGATATCATCCTGGGAATGAAATGGTTGCAAACCTTGGGGGAAACCAAGGACAATTGGGGAGCACTCATGATGGAATTAATGGTGGATGGAATAAATGTGGTCATAAGGGGAGAAGCAGGGCTATCCAAAGCCATGATATCACTTAAGAACATGGTTAGGAGCCTACAAGGGATGGGGGAAAATTATTTGGTGGGACTACACAAGCTGGATGTGATCAGGATGGAGGGAGGAGATGTTTCTCTTTCAGGGCAAACCTTAATTCAACAAGATGGTAGGAATTTTCAGCCACCTTAAGGATGGTCACCTACACGGGAACACGAGCATATCTCCACCTTGAGGACAAGGTGGATCTTCAGGAGGGGAGTATTGTTAGACCGGTCCAGCCGGTCCACGCGGGACCGGATCAGATGCAAAACAGCGGATCCTTTCCGCCAGCGACAGATGCCGCGCGAGCCGCAAGCCTTGCAGGAGCCGAATAGGAAGGTTTTTTTGGGGAATTAAGAGGGAAATTTGAATGTAGGGATTTCCTTCTGATTTGTATGCATTAAATAGTTTGTTTTTCTATGGTTATGACATCTTGAATTTGGCTGAAATTTGATATCTCTTTGATTTCTTTTGGGCTCTAGCAGCGTTTAGAGATTGGGAGAGAACAATCCTCCTCTCAAATAGAGGATCAATTTTATCTCGCTATTTTCTGCTTCCATTTCATCAAATATTACAAATTTTCTACCGTTTTCCTGTTTTTGTGTCGATTTTGATAAGAAAGCTCGCTGTTTTCCAAAAATTGATAGGAAATACTTGAGATCTTCAAGTGTTTCCTATCAAACTACCACTTCATTTATAATTTATGAGACAAATTGCTTGTAGTTATACTAATTAGTTTTTATGCTTGAATTATAATTAATATAGAAAACATAATTCTAGATGTGGCGTATCCTACATAGTTGTAATGGTGTCAGTGCTTCGTAATTGTAGGAGCATGGAAAATGTGGTAATCTGCTGTGCTTATTTGGTATAGAAAAGATGATGTGGTTGCATCTTTCATTTCTGTTTACAATTTATTATTGAGGCTTGCTGCATGGTCAAATGAATAAGTCTATTGCTCTTCTAAGAGCAACAGGAACTACAATTTAAGTTGATCGTCGATAAGAGAGGATTTTGTGTCCTATCAAATGTATCGTTCAATTCATTATTCAAGGGTTTTAATTATTGGGGAACATATGGACTCTAGTCGTGGTTGTAATTTAATGATGTCTTTCTATGACAAAACCATATGGTCAAATGGCCTTGATCATAAAAATTTATTTGTGGTGTTATTTAAGAACAAAAACATTGGTTAGAAAATGCGTGACATGTCCTTACTAGCGAAAGGTCATTTAATAATGAATCTTAGCGGTATTTGATGACAAGACATTTGCAAAAGGTGAAAGAATTTCGCTTTAAGTTTCAAGAGATTGATTTCACTTGAAATATTTATAAATTTTGCTAAATATTGAATTTTTTAAATCTCATTAGAATTCAAGCCCCAAATGATTAACTTTGGAATTTGAGGTCATTTTGAAGATCACGAGATCAATTCGTCCATCATCAATTGAAGTCACTTAAAAAAAATTGCATTTATAGCATAAAATTTTGATTTTGAGAATTGATTCCTCTAATTGAGATTTACTTTTAACATAACATCATTTGGAAGTTTGAGAATTACTAATTATTTTTTCACTCAGGGATGTTTTGTTATTTGAATGTTGCCAACTTTACCCACTTGATGGTAAAGGATCAGGTTTGTTTTGAGTTCATGTGACATTTTGATGATAAAGTCCCTTTCGATTGAGATTCACTTTCAACACGGCTATCATAAGAGTATCTTTGAAGTCACACAAAAATATTTATATTTTGCAATATAAAATTTTGATTTTGAGAGTTAAGAGTTAACCCCTCCGGTTAAGATCTTCTTTTACACAACCATCATCGGAATTATTTTCACCCTTTCTATTTTGATATTTGAATATTGGTAACTTTGCACACTTGCTGGCAGAGGATGGAGTTCGATCTGAGTTCATATGAAATTTTAATAATAAAATTCCCTCGCGGGATATCATTGAGGTAACATGATGGCATCATAATTTTTTATACGTTTACATTGTTGCAAGTTATTTTGTGTGATTCTGAAAAGTTAGTGCATTTGTTGCACTAAAGCTCATCACATCACCATCATTACACATAGTTAGAAAGTAATTGTCTGCGTGTGTATGTAGAGGGGGGCAAATAATTTTTGCGGATCAGTAAGAGAGCGTGGGAAAAATACTGGAAAGACTCATACCTGTTGTTGAATGTGAACTCCAATGTCGCTTAGTACAACATTACCAGACGCATCAGTTGTATATGACTTTTGCAGCAAATCCTAAAGTGCAAGGAAAAAAATTTTTGTTACAAAAAAATGCCCCCGCCAAAGAAGAAACCACAGGCACATGTCTTGTAAAGCTACCGCTATAATCATTCACCATAGTTCTTTAAGGGATAGGGGCATAGTTACAATTGCAATTAATACGGAAGGTCCTTTTCATAATTAATTAGTTAATAGAGAGTCTGTTTTATTTGATTTTCCTTAAGAGTTAAGGGATCTAGAGGTTGTTTGGGATAACTTGTCGATAAACAGGCCATCCTATAGGAAGAAGGGAAAATTTTTATGAGATTGTTCTCAGATTTCTGAGTTTTGAAGAGTTGCCTATTTTCGGTTGGATTCCCCAAGTTTAAGGAGAAGAGAAGGAGAAGAGGTCCTATTAGAATCCGGAAATCCACCACAATGGATCTCCAGGACTCTAGGCCTTCTCCCTTGGACTTCCTAGGTATAGTCATTGAGTCTCCAGCAGCAGGACAAGGAGACCAGCGGCTGTCCCTGCTGTCCTAAGTGGCAGCAAGGTTTTGTAAAGCATCCTGAATTCTTTTACCGGAGAAGAATGCTCACACAACAACCAAGAGGAGGGAGGCTCCATTCAGTCAACAGGAGGCGGGTTTTCTTGCAAGAAACGGGGGAGAATTGCTGGAAACAATCCAGCCAAGCCTTTTGAAAGTTGATTATTGAGGTTCAATCAGAACGTCTTGAGCTACAACTTCTTGAAAGCATGAATACCACAATTGAAGATCCCTTAGATCAGGTTCTCTGCTGTCTTCATTACTTATAAAATTTATTTTATTCCGACAATTATCTACACATTTCGTCCTCTTGAGTTCACTGCAGGTCTCACAGGAGCAAAGAAACCACGAATATCTATTTTAGCACGACACACTCTGAATCTAGAGATCTTAAGAAACCAGATATTTGCTTTAAACCTAAAAGAGAAGCTAAACCTTATCTGTGTTGGGAGCAATTCAATAAATTCTAAGAACTTTTTGTACTGGCTGATAACCGTTCCAAGTAAGGAAATTCTTCTGAGAGACTAGAGCTTGATGATGTTCAGCTCAAAATGATTGCTTCACGTCATTGATAGAGCTATTCATATTTGCACATTTTAAGTTTTCAAATTTATTCTGATTAGAAATACTCGCTTCCAGCTCCAGAGCTACATAGATGGATGCTTGGGCATTAACTGCTGAGCTCGCAGTTCAAGTGTTTTTTTCTCCTTTACCTTCTGAATAATTTTCTTCCATATGAGGAAGCTTCAACGTTCATCGCTCGAAAGGCTTAGTTGGCAAAATGCTAATGCTTGTAGATAGCTGGGAAATTTTTGGCCTGACAACAAGCTTCTTTATGGCTAGGGTTTCTGAGTGGGACTGCCTTTCGAAGATTGAGGTCCTCTTCAGAGGAAACTCATTACCAATGGCAGTTTTGTGGTTTGTGCATGTTACACATGTTGATACGCACGTTGAGCAGACACTTGAATAGGATTAGGCTTCCTAGTGCGGCCTTGGACAGACATGTCGAGAACAAGAATGACGGCAACTCTGGCAGCTACTGTAAGAATCTTTAGACCACCAAAAAAGATGGTAGCTTTGGAGTCTCTGTTGTTGATGACAACTGACCACCTGAATGTTGGCTCTATATGGTAACTAGACTGCAAAGCAATTTTTAGAGAATTTTAAATCTTAACTCATAATACTTTTGTTCTTACTATAATTTATATACGATTAGCCAAAAATGAAAAGAGAAACATTCAGCAACGAAATCGTAAAAAATATGTGGGCTCCAAAAAATTACACCCCTGCCTCTTCACAATTTCGAGAGTTTTAATGGGTGTTCCAAGTGAAAATTTCAGAAAGCATATTAAATTGAAGATAATATACTAAGAGATTTCACCCTCAATTTATGAGAACTTTAAGATTTGAGTTCAAGTTTCTCATAGGAACAAGACCTTATGATTAATTACCTCTCAATAACGAAAGAGCACTTTTGATTAAAGTTAATCAATAGATAACTACTAAATACTAAGCAAATAGTAGTAACAAATTTAGTATTAGATTTGAAATTTATTGTCTTGCGCTTAAAGTAGATGGTGAGGGAATGATGACGAACCCGGTCAAGATCCTATAGTTTTGTTGTCCTGAGTTTACATGATTTTTAGTCTACTTAGTCAAAAGAGGTTGTCGACCCAATCTCCTTGTCGACAAACATGAGTTGCCTCATCTAAGAATATCTTATAGATCTATAGTGGATGTTGTCTAAGGGGATAAATTTAAGTTGATCTTCGATAAGAGAGGATTTTGTGTCCTATCAAATTTATCGTTCGATTCATTATTCAAGGGTTTTAATTATTGGGGAACATATGGACTCTAGTCGTGATTGTAATTTAATGATGTCTTTCTATGGCAAAACCATATGGTCAGATGGCCCTGATCATAGAAATTTATTTGTGGTGTTATTTAACAACAAAAACATTGGTTAGAAAACACGTGACATGTCCTTACTAGCGAAAGGTCATTTAATAATGAATCTTAGCGGTATTTGATGACAAGAGATTTGCAAAAGGTGAAAGAATTTTGCTTTAAGTTTCAAGAGATTGATTTCACTTGAAATATTTATAAAGTTTGCTAAATATTGAATTTTTTAAATCTCATTAGAATTCAAGCCCCAAATGATTAACTTTAGAATTTGAGGTCATTTTGAAGATCACGAGATCAATTCGTCCATCATCAATTGAAGTCACTTAAAAAAATTTGCATTTATAGCATAAAATTTTGATTTTGAGAATTGATTCCTCTGATTGAGATTTACTTTTAACATAACCATCATTTGGAAGTTTGAGAATTACTAATTATTTTTTCACTCAGGGATATTTTGTTATTTGAATGTTGCCAACTTTACCCACTTGATGATAAAGGATCAAGTTTGTTTTGAGTTCATGTGACATTTTGATGATAAAGTCCCTTTCGATTGAGATTCACTTTCAACACGGATATCATAAGAGTAGCTTTGAAGTCACACAAAAATATTTATATTTTGCAATATGAAATTTTGATTTTGAGAGTTAAGAGTTAACCCCTCCGGTTAAGATCTTCTTTTACACAACCATCGTCGGAATTATTTTCACCCATTTTATTTTGATATTTGAATATTGGTAACTTTGCACATTTGCTGGCAGAGGATGGAGTTCGATCTGAGTTCATATGGAATTTTAATAATAAAATTCCCTCCAGTTTATATTCACTTTCTATGCGGGACATCATTGAGGTAACATGATGGCATGCATACTTTTTTATACGTTTACATGAAATTGAACGGTGCATTTGTATGTTTTAATGTATTTGTGAGCTTTTTAGTGTACTCATACAATGCATATGCACGTTTTCCGATGCATTTGCATAGTATATTCATGTGCTTTTCAATATGAAGTTTCTCTTTTTTTTTAACTAATAATACGCTTGAGACAACCAACAATTTTTTTGTGTTGTGGCACGATTTCCAAGACAATACTTGCTTTTCGAGTCTACTGCACACCTTTTGAGGCTACTACATGCTTCTCAAAGCTGTTGCATACTTCTTCAGGCGGTGGCAAACTTCTCGAGGCAAATGCACGAGTGTTTGTCATTAGAATGCGCATAATATTTTAAGTGTTCGAATGTCAAATATTTTTGCTAGGATTGAAATGCATACAAAATTCATTGTTTGAAGTTTCAAAGCTTGCCTTATGTTCGCTTGCCGATCTGGTGGTGAGTTGAATTCTTTTTCAAATTTTCTTATCTTTTAAAGAAAAATAAATTTGTTTGTACATGCGTTAGATTAATGCAAGCAGGACCCACATGGCATCTTTTTCTTTCTATAAATAGGGAGAAAATTTTAGTTCATCTTTCATTCCAGTCAGTTCATTGTGTGGATTCTTGAGGGTTTCAAGTGTTCTTAGTAGTGGTAGGGAAGTTCCACACTCGTAAGCAAAATTTTCAAGTTCGTTATAGGTTCATGTATCTTCAATTTCAAGTTCAATTTTAAAAATTGTCGTTGCTGGGGCCCTAAGACCTGGATGAGAAAAGTTGAATATTGCATTAAGTTGTTGAGAACCAGTGTAAAACTTATCGTACAATCATGACATAAATCAATTAATCTCTTATATTAATGTCAGGGCATTCCCTGAAAGCAATGCCCTGTATAGCCTAATTACTATAAAAAGTGTGCAAGGGCCACTGCGCCGGCGCCTAAGTGCAGTTTTTATATCCATTTCAAAGTCTGGAACTATATGAATGCCCTGCAAAGTCTCGTAGTCTTCATATACTTCTAAGTGATCACAATTCTGTCTAATATTGAACAAATAAGTTCGCAATTTTTTCCTTTAATTTTAGAAAAAGGGACAATGTCACTTATTTTTTCAATTTTGTATATTATTATGGCTTACGTTAAGTGTTTATAAAATTTGTAATTAGACGAAAGTGTTAAATATTCATGATTTATTATATTATAATTAGAGGTGTCAAAATCTAATACGACCTGAAACTTGACCTGAACCCGACCCGAAAATTTTTGAGTTTGGGTCAACCTGTTTAACATACGGGTCGGGTTTGGGTTTGAGATTCCAATCCATTTAAAAAATGGGTCGGGTTCCGGTTGACCCGGCAACCCGAGATCAACCCGGTTTTGACCCGCATCAAGCCATCCCCTCCGTGTTCCGCACTTTGCTTCGCAGGAAGCTCGACTCACTCGAGTGCTCTACTGCTCGGGTCTACTTGCATGCTGGCGCAGGCCTGGCCTCGCCCAGACGCCACGGTCCTCACATGCGCTCCGCTCGCACGCTGGCACTGGCCTCACTCGAACGCCGCGGTTCTCGTCTGCACTCCGCTCGCATGCTGGTCATTGGCACTGGCCTCACCCGAATGTCGCAAGCCCGCAAGACCGCGGCTTACCCGATCTCTATATATATGTTACAAACAAATATCTGCTTGAATGCCCTGGCTCCAAAAAAATTACATACATCACTAATCAAGTAGCTTCTAAGACAACCCGATTCTTAACCATGCTTATGTTACATGCTCCTGTACATCATTCATTAGTTTTCTTTTTTTAAAAGACATCTAAAAGTTTAAACACATAACAATCCCCTGTCATTAAGCCATGGATAAACTGGCCCTCTTAATCTAAATTCTCTTTATGATAATTAAAAACAGGAGAGAAAAACTTCATGCAATTATCTCCCTTTGTGCACATGCTGATTGGACAAATCAATGTTCTTTTGTTGACAATACTGAGAAAAAAATATTAATGTACTGCAATAAAAACTTTAAACAAAAACATTTGCTTACTTGCCCTGCACCTTCAGCAATACAAACTACGGCTGATCCTTTAGTCCTTATTAGATGCTCAAGATGCTGTAAGACTCCATGTGGTCCCTCCAAGGTGAAAGGTACCTTCAGGCAGAGGTATAACTACGTAAGGAGAAAGGTACCCCCATGTAAAGCCAAGACTATGTAAGGCTTAATAATGAAAACAAAAACAGGTTTCCAGCCAGTGGTGAGACTCTTAAAGACAAATATATTAGTTTAATAGAGAAATAAATTAGGACAAACCTCTGGAATTAAACAGACATCAATCTGGCCACTGGAAACAGAAGCATGCATAGCTATGAATCCACTGCTTCTTCCCATCAGTTTCACTAGTCCAATGCCGTGATAAGCACTATGTGCCTAATTGAAGATGAAAACAAATGATACAATAATATTACTCCAGAACTGAAGAAAAAAAAAAAGATAGAAAATTAGCTAAAACCCTACAAAAAGAAAAAAAAAAACAAACAAACACAAACCTCAATATATGCAGAATTTATTGCTCGTTGAGCTTCTTCCACAGCAGTGTCAAAACCAAATGTCTTATCCATAAGAGGTATGTCATTATCGATTGTTTTAGGCACAGCAATGACAGAAACTTTCATGCTTCTTTTCCGACACTATGCAGATAGCGAAAGGAACAAAAGCATAGAATCAACTTTTAAACAGTAGATAGAATATAAAAAATTTAGTGCAACAGATTCGACCTAAAACGACAACAATAAAGAGTAATCAGGATACCAAGTAATGAATAAAAAAATAGTGATTAGATATCAGCATACTGTGCAAATAAGAAGCTAAGAGAAAAGAATAAAACAAAATAATTGCAATTTAAAAAAAAAAAGACATAGTACCTCATTATGTATTGCATTTGCTCCTGCATGTGTTCCATTTCCCCCGAGAATAAAAAGTATGTCAATTCCCCTAGCCTGAAATTCTTGGGTGGCATTAGTTACACTTCAATCACACTAGCATGTACAACTGATTTTTTATTAGAAATAAGGATGTTAAGTTTGCAATCTTCTAATAAATCATTGCTCACCTGAATACTGTCTACAATTTCACTAATGTTGCCTCCTCCACGAGAAACTCCCAAAAGACTTCCACCAGCAAGATTAATGTTTTCAACCACTCTACGATAAAGCCGGGAAAACACGAGCATCTAAGCATCAAAATGAAATATTGAGAAGACTATCCGATTTTGCAGAATGGAATGGAGGTCATAATCTTACTGGTATTTCTGATAAACCTTCCTCAAAAAAGCCACGATAACCAAAGGGAATTCCAACAATCTTCTTAACACCATATTTTTCAAGGGTGAGCACTATCTGCCAGATAGAATATGTTCTTTTGATATACAGTATAACAAAAATAAGAAAAAGAAACAACTTTGTTCATTTTTTTTAAAATAAAAATTCGCATAAGTTAAAAAATAGTTGGTTTGGGTAATAGTTGTAGGGTAATATAATAATATATGATATATTTATTCTCGTTTATAACATAACCTTCTATAATTCTTGCAACTCCATTAGTTTTACCTACTAGACGCCATTATAGATGGCAATTTTGCAAAAGAATTTTGGCTAAGATGCTACATGCACACGTTGGTAAACATATACAATGAAATATGATTCAGAAGTATCAACCAGGTCAAAGCGTTTTACACAGGTTCAGCCCTATTTTTTGTATTAATCCTTGTTGAAAATGATTCGTTTCCCATGAAATCTAAAGTTGAATGCATAATCATCCGAACAACTACCAAATTATTAGAAAAAACATTTATGCCTAATCATGCTAAAAAGTACTGGCATGGGAAGATATGTGAATGACAAACATGATTTAGACATAGATCTCAAGAGAATATTTCATTATGCAAAGCAGATAAAGTATTTTACCTGTCTAATAATGTCATTGAGTCCCGGACAAAGCCCGCCGCATGTAACTATTGCAGCCTTTACATCATCAGGTTCATAGTATATCAGCTTCCTTGGTCCAGCTCGGTGTCCTATTTCCATAATAAATCTACGATTACTGGAGATAGGAAAAAGGATTTTGCAGAAAATTTATGTGGGATAGTGCGTTTCAGACTAGGATAAAATTCATGGATCAAAAAGCTTTGGAGAAGTAATATTGCAGATAATCTAGCAGCAGCAAAAATAAAAATTTTAAAAGGGAAGTTACTGAATTATCGTCATGCACAAATATGAAGAAAAAAAAATCTAATGGTTCTACTGCATATAGCTTTATGAAGTAATGTTTCAACTTTTCAGAATCACACAAAATAACTTGCAACAATGTGGTAATTTTATTTCATGCATATTCATTTTAAATAAATATATTAGCTTGGACTAATTTTATGTTTTCAATACCATTGCTCAACCCAGCTGCAGCAGGATCAATGCAATGTGCTCCAGCAGAACTTGGTGAAGCAAACTTTATCACCTGAAAAAAAATAAGAAAATAATATATAAAATTTCAAACTGCCAACATAAGAATATTCGACTTTTTTCAAAAAATTTATTGTTTTCAAAAATAAAAAATAAAAAAGAAATATCTGCAATCAATGTCTGTTATAATGTCACGAGAAAAACAAAAACACAGTTTATGAATGTTTAGATTCTACTATAGCAATTTTCAGGCTAACAGTAGGCAAAGTATTTAGCTGGGAAAAGCATTACTAGCCATATAAACAAATGATTCTGATAGATACCAGTCGCCAGGAAACGAAGACAAAACAGAGGAAAAAAACTCTATCTAGACGTTTAGCCTCAGACATTTCTCTTCGTAATACCAGGAAAGAACTCCCCTCCCCTCCCCTCCCCATGGAGAAAGGAGTGGGGGTGCTCCCCTTCCCGTTGATTGCTTAGATACTTGGCTATAAAATCTTAGCTTGTATAACCTATGATTGATATTGTTGCTGGAAACATTTCGCAAGAACCACTACCATGGGCCATGAGCATGGTGGGCTTAAAAGAAACTATTAAGATTTGTGCATAAATTAGGTAAAATTTGATTGAATGAAAAAATAACCATCCAGTATTTACAAATCCACCTATTTCCATCAAAAACTTTGGGAGAATCTAAAAGATGTTAGGGCTTCTTTTGGTAATTATCTTTTTAGAGGTGTCGTATTTTTAGTGTATGAAATAATTAAATTGCTACTCTCATAGACATTGGCAAGCTGTTCTACTATAATGTTGCACATGGTTGTGATGCATGGAGAATGGCTATATAATGATTCCTCCTCTCTATTCTTATCTCAATTATTTGGGATTGGCGTTATGAATTAGTAATTTTAATTTATTGTTGTTTGGTGTTATCAGAGCTGTTAAATAAACTCCAGGCCATTTCCACGCTTTGAAGTCACGTTGATCTCTCTCTTCTCTGCTTTTCTCGCACAGCTATTGTGATTGGCAACGTTTTAAAAACCGGACCGGACCGGCCGGTTCAACTGGTTGAACCGGTACCCGGTCGGCCGTCCGGTTCGTTTTTTCACTGAAACCGGGCAAGCAAAGAACCGGCTTTGAACCGGTCCGACCGGCGGTCCGACCGTGAAACCGGCGAACCGAAAACCGGGCGCGAACCGCCCAGTTAATCTTAACCGCAGTTTTCAGCCGCTTGATTTCAATCATGCGGTATTTGAGGTGAAGGAAAACGTAAAACCTAGTTTTTTTTCCTACTCCTGTAACTCCCGAAGCCGCGCGTCTCTTCCGATCTTCTTCCTTCGTCACTGCAACTCCACCTTCGTCGTTGCTTGGTAATTACTGCTCAGAAATTGAAACAAGCGGTTTCTTTGTAATTACTGTTATGTTTTTTAAATTCTTTTTCTTAGTGAATATGAAGTTCTGTACCTTTTTTATCGACATGCTCTTCATACGTTGTGATTTATGAAAGGTATCAAGTTGTTCAATTATGTTCATAATGTTTTTTGAAATGGCGCCATTCCATGAACTAATGGACTAGCATAAACTGTGATAAAACAATTTTAGTTCGTGTTAGAAACAAACTAGCTCAAATCAAGGCTGTTAAGCTGATCAAATCTTCCTTAATATACAACTGAAGAAGATTCAAGACCTTTCTTCCTTTTTCTGGAGGGAAGACCAACATTCACATTGGAACAGCAACTGATTCAAGATATCTGTTTCAGAAACTTTTTTTTTAGTTTCTAAAATTGATTGAATTGAGGGTAAGGTGTGTGAATCTTTTTGAATTGATGAAATAGGAGAAGACGACATTAGGATTGGGAAGACTGCTGAGAAGGTGAGAGTATGCATCCACTTGCTATTACCTCCTTGATTGTAGTAGAGTAGCGACCGTCTTCCCAGTTTTCCCCTCATACACATTAGTATGAGATCAGAACCTTCTAGTATTGCTTTGAAGCTTGAATGGTGGGAAATAGCAGATATTTTGAAGCTTGCATTAGGATTGAGTACAATTATATCAAGCATCAGAACCTTCTAGTATAGCTGCCTTTCTAGAATATATGTTGAATATTTTAGCAATGCAAAGAGAATTATTAATTACTTCTATATATATATACAGATGTATTATAGGAAAAAATTTATTCATTTTATAAATTTTAATAATAATTTTATTTGTTACGTCATCCGGTTCGACCGGTCGAACCGGTCAAACTGTGAACCTCTCCTTCTTCCGGTTCGTTGTCCGGTCTGATTTTCAAAACCTTGGTGATTGTATCCTCCCACTCTCGAACTCCCAACCTCCACTTACAGCCACATAATCCTGCACCTCACACACAAAAAAGGGTTCCTTGTTCGGTAATCTCCCGTAGAATCCCTAGCTTCCCCCTAGTCCGACCATCACCTCACGCCTAACCTCCCAGAAGCCCAAGTTCAGCTCTATCAAACACCCGTCCATCTGTTGACCCGTATGCCGTGGAAGACAAAAGAAAAATTAAAATCCCATACCTGCTGGCCTCGCACGTTGCACGTCCGCGACCTCCTCCCACGTCGCACGTCGCTCCCACGACCTCTCCGCGTCGTTAAAACGAGGCGAGAACGAAGCCTTCGGGCTCGGATCTCTCTGGCTCTCTCGCTCTCTCGATACCTCCACTGCCTTCTTCCTCCTCAACTCTTCGGATTCTCCCCCAACATGTAGAAATCCCGATTTCTTCCTCCCGCCTGCGAATAGGAGCTCTCCGACCCAGTCTTCCACTAAGCCGAAAACTTCCCCCCACCTGTGCCGACGCTCCCTAAAGCCGAAATCCTCTAACCCAACCTCTTCTCCACCTGTAGCCGAGCGGCTCTAATAGAAACTTAGAGGTGATTTTCTTTTAAGTTGCTATTATTATTATTATTTAAGGTATTAATAATATTATTAATATTAGTAGTAATAATAATATTATTGTTATTAATAATAATAATGTTATTATTATTATTATTAGTATTATTATTATTATTACTATTAATATTATCATTATAGCATTTATTATTATTATTTCAAAAAAAGAAGTTTGCAAAATCGTACCCTCTCGTACCTCAACATGCGTGTCGGGCCGGCAAACCTCTTATGCACGCCTTTATTGAGCGTGGCAGGAGGGAACCCGGTGCGACACCCACGACGGTAGGTGAGCAACCCCTTGGCCCCCAAAGCCCTGTCCTAGGTGTGTGCGACGAGCCGGTCAACCACCTATGCACGCCTTTATTAAGCGTGGTCGGAGGGAACCCGGTGTGACGCACACGACGAGGCCAGGTAAGCCTGGTGCACGTTTTTCTTAGCGTGACCAGGACAACTCTTAAGTACCCGTACGCGGCTTTGTACCTGCGGGGAAACAACTGCTCTTTTCTTGTAACAGGTACCATCAAAGACCCCATGCATGCCTTTATTGCGCGTGGTGGAAAGAAAGATCACGGCCGCAGTGTCCTCGAAAGAGGGCACCTACCATGCACGCCTTTATTGTGCGTGGTGGGAAAGTCTCAGTTTTCCATAGTTTTCTCCTAAACAAGAGAGACGCCGGGATGCTGCCGAAATTTTGGGTGAAATATTACTCTATTCAGACCTGTTTGAACTCAAAAGAACAAAAGTCTGGACTCAAATGAGAAAGAGCAGTTGACTTGTGGATTTAAACCAGAACAAAACCTAAATGATTTCTAAAGTTCAAATTCAAATGAAATGAAATCAAACTGGAACCCAAATTCAAATAATTTGAACTTATAATTGAACTTGCAAAGATTTGCAAATTTAAACCAAACAAAATGGCAAGAGGACTTGAACTTGCACACTAAACAAATACTTGAACTCGAACTGTACAATGTTGAGTGGGACTTGTAAACTTGATAAATTCAAATCTGAATGAAATTGAACTTGGATTCAAACACATGCAAGGAACAAAGTTTGAATCACACACGAGGGAACTCAAACTACAAGAACATTTGTATTGTCAAAAGTGACTCAAAGTACGTTACAAGACCTCGATGCATGAACTCCTATAACAATCCCTACAAATGCCTGTAGATTGAGATAACAATATTGTCAATTGATAGTAGAAGATCCGTCCTTGCAAGCAAGCATGCCAAACCACCTGAGATTGGTGAAAGGTGGATATGGTACAAGGACCATGAGTCTTCTACAAGCACTTCTAGGAGTTCGTAGTGGATACAATGGGTCCATGCAAATAAACACAAGCACTTGTGGATAACAACAGTGGATATATCGTAGGCACAACGAACCACTGTGGGCACAAGTACAAATGTCACCTACGATGACGGTGACTAAAATGCCGCTAAGTACGTCGGGTACAAGGGCAACCCGATGTATGAAAGAGGACACTCCTGGCAAAATGGAAGAGATGTTTGAGCAAGTTCGAACTAAACTTCCTAGTGTTCCAAAATTTCTTCTTGATCCTATACTCAGGAAGAAAATAATATTCGCATCTACAAATATCAAAGACAACAAGTCTACTACACTAAAGATCTTGAAAGGAGATCTTTTCAAGGCAAAGCAGCCGACTTCAAAGTCCAGAAGAAACCCTCTTCGGTGAATGAGAAAAGGGGAGTCAACATCAAGATGAGGAGATGCCTCATAACATCAAGACAATATCATGCCACCGGATCTGCAACACTTATACAAGCAGACATAAGGCGTCTACGATCTACAACGCACCGCCACCGAATCTGCAACACTTATACAAGCAAATAGAAGGCGTCTACAATCTACAACGCCTCGCCACCGAATCCGCAAAATTCGTACTAGCGGACAGAAGGCATATAGAAGCTCTTAAATGAAAAGTTGTGTGCATCCAAATGGCAGTTATCTACACAATTACAACTATTTCAAAATATCCCTGCACGTGCACTATAAATTGTATACACATAGGTACACTAAAAGGGAAAATATAATCACGACCTGCATGGGCCCCGGCGAGCGTGTTATTGATACACATGTGACGTCTAGAGATGTTGTGCGGGTCGATAAATGAATTCAAGTTCGAACATGATCTTTCTATATGGATCAATAGGAGTCGACAGGGTTCAAACCTTCAAATGAATACCCGATTGTGACGACCAGTGTATTTGTTTTAATACATTCATTTTAGACCTTCAAGGCCTATAATCAAGAGAATTCACTAACAAAGCCACGAAGCCTACAAAACCCGATCCTCCAAAGCAGATAAATAGGAGTAGACAGGGTTTGAATCATCGGATAAATATGCGGTCACGAAGTTGACCGGGATATTTATTTTATACATTCATGTCAGGCCTTCAAGGCCTTTGACAAAGAAAATTCACAAACAATGGCATAAAGCCTATGAAACCCGATCCCCTATCGGCAAGTTGATAGGGTCGACAAGGTTCAACAAAGAGAAATGACCCCAAACACCCCGATGATGGCCGTGTTGAATGTTAATCTCAACCGGAGGGATCCATTCCAAATATTTTCAAATGTTTCCCAAAAGTCCACTCAAAATTCAAAACTCCACAAAGTCCAAAACCCAACAAATCCCAAATTCCAAGATATTTAAATTCAAAATCATCCATCAATCACTTAAAGCAAAATCCATCCACCCTCCGCAACAGTTTGTCGGGGTGGACAAATCAAATTTACTTCAGCTCACAAAGAGCTAATGTCTAGTCGAAAATATCACTAGGATCCATTCTCAAACAATCTCCTGCCAGTAAGGACGTGGTACGTGTCCTCTAACCGGCGGTTTTGCCGCCAAATGGCACCGCATGATAAACGGTTATGACCCGAGGCCCTTTGAACCGAGTGGTTTTGCCGTTAAATGGCACCACAGATACCGGTTATGACCAGAGCCAATACGCTCCTTAATGGCATCAAATCTTTGAGATATAAATCAATAGGATATGATCGATAGGGCACAAAGCCCTTTGTTAGCTAAGGTGGATTCAAATTTGTCCCCTTAGCCCCAGGTCTACAAGGTACCCTTGGACGAAGCAACCCATGGCTGCCAACAAGGATCCTTCTATCAGGTTGGGTCGACTACCTCCTCTGACTAAGTAGACCAGAGACCACGATGGCCCGGGACGACGGAACCATGGGATCTTGATCGGGTCCATCATGCATTCCCCCACCATCCACTTTAAGTGCACGATGGTGCAATTTCAAATTTTAAATATCAATCTTCCAACCTTTAAATTCTCAAATCCTTAATATCCTTGCTGCTACTATATGCCAGATAACACGTATTCTCTACGTATATGATTGACGACTAGCCTTAATCGAAAGTTCTCTCTCATTATTGGGAGGGGTAATTAACTATAGGGGCTTGCGCCTATAGGAAACCAGAACTCAGATCATAAAGTCCTCGCAAAATGAGGGCGAAATCTCTGGGTAGTGTCTTATCTACAAACCCATCTACCTTCCAAAATTTACCTCGGAACTTATTCCGTTAAAACTTCCTCGCAGAAAAAAAAAGCACAAACAGTGCGGGCGGAGGCCGGGGCCGAATTTTCGGAGCCCACACCATCCAATCTGCCTCACCTTCCACTACTTTCAATTTCACCTCCCTTGAATCGTTCAAACACCTGATACCCATCCACATCAACCGAACGCCTATACTAGTAGCTGATCTTTTTATTTGCAGCAAAAATCTGCATCAGATTTCCAATAGCACGCCAATATTCACGTTATTTCCTTGCATTTGTGCGATCGACTTGAACTCCCCCCTCCGATTGATCCCGTCAAGCTCTAAAACTGAAGCTGACATTCCCTAGCCGATTCCCTAAACTGCTCGCAACTGTATTCTTCCTCATTCCCAGCCAACATCCCGACCAAATTCTTCACAGAGCTCAACATTTCTTTCACTTTATCCCCATTTGTGTGTCCTCCTCGTTCACGTGAAAGCTGCCATATTATTCTCATTTCACGTGCTTTTTTACATTCAGTCACTCCCCTCTCTAACCCACTCACAAGCAAGCCCAATTAACCAGCCCAACACATCCCCTTCTCTGTTAGAAACTCCAAGCAAGAGGCAGCCTATAAGATGTTGTATCTCTACAAGTCTATACAAGAAATAATACCAGCCAAAATCTCTAGCAAGCTCAAAAATTAGAACCATTAGAGAGTAATGAAGATTAACACATAACTACATATTATTCTCTACATAACATCACCCAGTACACATCTTTTTTAAAATTTTCTCCTACCTATAAAACCTTCTTTACAAATATCGCCTTTACATTCATTACAATACCACACTCTAATTAAGGCACTTGAAAGAAAGAGCTGGAAGAATGCCATGAGAGAATAGATGAATACTCCAGAAAAAAAACGCAATTAAGGGATCATTGAACTAACAAAGGGAAGAAAATGATAGGATGCAAAAGAATTTTTTCTATAAAATATAAAGCAAATGAAAGCTCGAAAAAATATAAAGTGAGATTGGTAGCCAAATGATAAACTCAATCCTATGGAAATGATTACTTAGAAACTTTGTTTCTATTGTACAAACGAATACATATATATCTTAATTTCTCTTGCACCAATCATGGATGGTCCATACAATAGTATGGTTTAAAGAATGTTTTCCTACATGGGGATATTGAAGAATAAGTGTATATGAATCCATCATCTTGATTTGATAGTTCTTTCATAAAGAACAATGTGCAGATTACAAAAAACTCTAGATGGCCTTAAATAATCTCTAAGAATATGATTTGGCATATTCACGTCATAAATGAAGCTAAGTACAAGCAAACCAGGAGATCATACCCCTCTTCATAAAACACTCAACTGATGGTAAAATCTTAATTCTCATCTTATATGTTGACAATATAATTATCACATGTGATGACAATGGAGAAAATGAGCCTCTCAAAAAAAAGCTTGCTAGAGTTTAAGATCAAATAGTTGGATAAACTCAAATACTTTTTGGGAATAGAAATTGCTCAATTAAAATAAGGAAATATTCTTTTCTACAAAATTCTACCTTTGATCTACTAAAATAAACAAAAATGGCTGATTGTATATGTGATAAAACCCCAGCTATATTAGGTCAAAATTGGATGCAAATGAAGAAAAAATAAGTAAACATATGGCAATATCCAAAATTAGTTAGAAAAACTATCAATTATATCACATCCATCTAGACATCACAATTACAGCGAGTCTCATAAATCAATTCTTACACAAATCCAAAGAATATCACATTCAAGCTACTTATAAGATATTTAGATACCTTAAAAATAGGCTTGATAAAGATATTCACTAGAAAAAGCAGAATACTTATTATATTGAAGGGTACACTGATGCAGTCTATACAAAATCACCAATAATAGAAGATTCATGACTAGATACTGTATAATTTTGGAAGGAAATCTCATAATAAAGAGGAGCAAGAAATAATTATTGTTTAAAGATCTAGTATTGAATCTAAATTTAGAGTCATTGCTCAAGCAATCTGTGAGTTTCTGTGGATTAAAATCATTTTAGAAGATTTAAAATTCAAATGAGAATGGCCAATGAAGGTATATTATGATAATAAAAAAGCAACCAGCATTGCTCATAATCTATACAATATGATCATGCCAAACATATAGAAACGGATAAATACTTCATAAAACATAAATAAGAAAGATGATTCATTTGAACTCCATATGTACCAATAAAAAATAAACTTGTAGACATTATCACTAAAAGACACTACAACCCCACATTCAAAAATATTATAAGCAAACCTCAAATGATATATTTATATTATTCAGGGAGAGTGTTCAATGATTGTGAAACTCACAATCAACCAACTTTGGGGACCTTTTTTTTCTTTTTTTCTAAATAACTTTGATTTATTTCTATTTTATGAATTTTGAACAAGTCTAAATATACTTTTAGTCTTTGAACATTATCAAACAATAAAATTCAAATTATATTTTCTACTTTTCCACTTTTCCTAAAAAACCCATCCTAAATTTGAAAAAAAAAAAAGAATTTTTAATTTCAATTCTTAACTTACAAGATAAACACATAACATTCACAAAGTAGCATGAGGAACAAAAATGACAAAAATATCATAAATGCTTAAAAAAAGTCAAAATGCAACATTGCAAAAAAAATCAATGGATTTTAAAAACCCTACCATTGCCACATTGCAAAAAAAAAAAAAAACTTAAAATTTCATGGTAAAAAACTGGAAGAATAAGGAACAAAGCATCAAAAGTTTGAAAGAAGAAAATATAATAACCAAGAAAAGCTCAATAAATACAAGCCAAGAAAAAAAAACCCTAAAATTCGGGAAAGAATGCTAGAGAACCTATAGAGTTACTGTATGACACACCTCTTTGCGATCACTTCTCAAGTACGACCCTCCAATCCTCAAATACAGAGAAAGTCATGGGAACCATCTCTGAGGAAGATGAAGCACAGAAGGCAAAGTCCTCTCAAGTTGGAAACCTCCTGTCGACTCAATATTGTCCCCAAGATAAGTTTATAGTATAAGGGCACTTTAAGTATCAGAGAATTTTTAGTAGAAGTGGCACAATAGGAACCTAAATGTAACATCATTCTTTCTCAGAAACTTTAAATTTAGTGCTTCTAAAAATCTGGACAAACACGAAGCAGAATCTATACATCACTACCCTGGATGCACTTAATAAAATTAAGAATTGTCCTGGAAAAAAAAACTATGACAAGAAAAACATTGGGAAAAAATCTGTTCCGGTTATTATTTAGAGTAATACACCTTAAGAAGTGCTCGATCATCATCATTGACATATCCATTCCATGTGTCCTCTGGAGCACCATTGCCATCAACTAGAGGAACTCTGACAAAATCAAAAGAATAAAAAGAAAAAAGAAAATAACAAACTGTAACTCATAGATCCTACCATAGTCTATATGGAAGAATATGACGTCAATATTAACAAATTAGAAAGCATGCTTAACAAATATGAAACTTAAAAGAAACTGATGCAATACAATACCTATTAAAAGAAATTATAAGGCAATAATTACCTGCTTTTAAGAGAGAAAGTTGTTGACCTTGGCTTCACTTCAAGACTATCCCTCAGATGGGGCAAATCAAACCGTCGATCAAAACTTTCCTGGAATTTGTTTTTCCACTTTGGATCTGCAAAATCTATATCTGGCTTAGCCATGAGAGCTCTGATGTGAAATTTCGTTGATTCAAATTCTCTGTTCCTCCCAGAAATTATCAAACTCAAATAGTTAAGGTTAAACAAAGATGAATCAGCCTTCCAATTTAAGCCATGTTGATTAACCAAACCAACAGCACTGATTGATGAAGTAGACACCATTTTTCAGAATTTTCAGAAGCAAAGAATGATAATCAAGCAGACCAAGAAGCAAGGGACCTAAGGAAAAAGGAAAATTTTAACAGTAGTAAGAGAAGTAGTAATAAAATGAAATTGAAAAATACAAAAGACATTAAAATAGAGTATATACAATATCATATAATAATTGTGGAACATAATTATAAACAATGCAAGAACTGCATTCAACCATAATAAAAAACAGAAAGCTGATTATTATAGTAATTCCCAACCCCCAAGAAACCTAAAGTCCTACTGATGTAGAACTAAATGCATGGGAAATTATGCAATGTTAAAATTACATGCCTTTTAAATTAGAACAATAATAATTACGTTAGCTTCTAATGATTTAAACTAGTATTAAAACAAAAGAGAGATCATTAAAGCTTAGGCCAAACTGTGAGGAGGAAGTCTTGAGGACTTGAATGCCGAGATATAGCGACACATTCCCGAGTTGCTTGAGAGCAAAGTGAGATTGAAGATGTTGGAGAAGCTTTTGCATCGTTGATTTGTCATTGCCTGTAAGCAAGATATCATCAACATAAATGAGAAAATAGATTTGTACATTATTTTGATTGAAAATGAGAAGCGAGGGATCGGAACGCTGAACCTGAAGCCGAACTGTTGAAGTAGGGATGTTAGCTTGTGGAACCATTGACGCGGTGCTTGTTTTAGTCCGTACAAGGATTTGTGAAGTTTGCAGACGTGATTTGGATATTGATTGTCGACGAAATCTGGAGGTTGTCGCATGAAGACATTATCGTTGAGATTGCCATGAAGGAAGGCATTAGCGATGTTGAGCAGTAGAATGGACCATTGACGATGTAAGGCTATAGTGAGAAGAATCCGGATCGTTGGCATTTTTGCGACGACTGAAAGTTTCTGTGTAGTTGACTCTGAGAGTTTGATTGAATCCCTGAGCGACCAGCCGAGCTTTGTATTTGTCAATTTGACCGTTAGATAGAAGTTTGGTTTTGAACGTCCATTTGCATCCGAGAATGGGAGCATTGGTTGGTGGAGGAAGGAGCGACCACATACCTTGTCGTTGAAGCGCAAGAAATTCATTTGACATGGCAGCACGCCAGTGAGAGATTTTTGAGGCTTGAGAGTATGTAGAGGGAGTATTGGAGGAAGAGATGGTAGTTGAGAGGTCGAAGATTTTTCTGGGTTTGTGGATACCTAATTTTGCACCAGTTTGCATGTGATGAATCGGTTGGGAGGAAGTGGACGAACTGGTTGTGGTGGTTGTGATCGATTTTGAGTTGGAAACAGAGACTTCCTGAGATGGAAGTAGAGGAATTGAAGCAGAAAACTGATGCGTGGTGTGGCGGGTTGGAGTTGATTTTGGTGTGCTATGATGGATGGAGGTGGGAATAAGAAGGAAGGGGGATAGGTTTGTATTGTTGGCTGTAGAGTATACAGTGGAAGAGGTAATAGAAGTTTGATATGGAAAGATTTGTTCATTGAAAAGAACATGTTTGGATATCTGAATTTTGTTTGTGGTAAGGTTGAAGCATCTATAACCCTTGTGATGGAATGAATAGCCAATAAAGATGCAGGGTTGGGAGCGAGGTGAAAGTTTGTCTTTGGCATAAGGTTTGAGCCACGAAAAGCATAGGCATCCGAATGGGCGAAGATGATTGTAGGAGGGAGGAGTGTCGTATAGAAGATGATATGGTGTTTGGTTATTGATGGCTTTAGACGAAAGAAGGTTGATGAGGTAGTTAGCTGTGGTGACGGCTTCAGCCCAGAAATTGGTGGGAAGATTTGATGCGTGCAGAAGGGTTCGAGCTATTTTGAGAAGATGTCTGTGCTTGCGTTCGGCAGTTCCGTTTTGTTCGGTGGTGTGAGGGCAACTGATTTGATGCGAAATGCCGTCAGACGACAAGAAGGATTGAAATTGGTTACTTATGAATTCGCCGCCACCGTCGGATCTAAAGAATTTCGGTGTTGAGTTAAATAGAGTTTTTACAAGCAAGCAGAAATGACTGAATTTGGTGAATGTTTCATGTTTTGAATGCATAGGATACAGCCAGGAAAATTTGGAGAAATCGTCGACGAAGATAACGTAGTAATTAAAACCGTTTAACAAAGGTTGAGGAGCTGGGCCCCAAACGTCAGAATGGACTAGGTAAAAAGCATTAGGATAAGTAGAAGAACTTTTATTAAATGGAATTTTATGGCTCTTTGCCATATTACAAGAAGTACAATGAAATTGTTTGGGTACAAAATCAAGATTTGGAAGGTTTGGACGCAGTTTGGTCAGAACTCCAAGATGTGGGTGACCGAGCCTAGAATGCCAGAGATGAGCAGACATCTGAGTGGCAAGAAGAGTCTTCGGGCGGTCCGGGGAAGTAAGGTGAAGGTGGTACAAGCCATTACGCATTTGATCATGAAGAAGAGGACGATTGTCCTGACCATCCTTAATAACAAACCCGTTAGCATTAAAGCATATCAAAACCTGATTATCAGATGTTAGTTTTGAAATCGAAATAAGATTATGCGTTAATGACGGAACATGTAGTAATTTGCAGAGATAGATCTTACGAGCCAAGTCGGGTAGTGGGAGTATCCCTTGATCGGAGTTTTGGATTGGGAGAGAAGATCCATTTGCAACCGAGATCGTGTCTGGTCCTTGATATGGTGAGCTGAGTTGGAGATTGGTGAGATCCAGAGTGAGATGTGTTGTGCGCCGGAGTCAAGAACCCAGTCTGTTGTGGGAGTCGGTGATTGTTGTGAAAGAAGAGCGCACAGAGAGGACGAAGTGGTTGGTGCATATTTGAAATTGCACCGGTGCCAGCAGTTTAGTACGACATGTCCGACCTTTCCACAAATCTGGCAAGTGGGGCGATCTGTCTGATTGGGATTAGAGGGCGGACGTGCAGAATAAGAGGAATTGCTCCGGTTAACAGGATTGCGATACTTGACCGTTCTGTTCAGGCCTTTCCAGCAACCGGGTGATGCCCGATTGACATAGAGGGCAGTGCTATCTACGGGAGCATAGGAGTCTTTTTGAGTTTCTTGATGAAGATTTATCTCTTCACTTATTAGGAGAGAATAGAGGGTATCAAGATCAATGGGATGGAGGGATGTCCGGATAGCGGTTTTGAACGAGTTGTAGGAGGAGGGTAGTCCGTTCAGGATGTAGAGGATTATGGCCTTTGTGTCGAGTTGCGACCCCAAGATAGCGATGTTGTCAACAAGAATTTTGATTTGCAAAAGGTATTGTTGCATGGATGAGTTTCTCATTTGAATATTGTGGAGTTCGTTCTTGAGTTGGATGACTCATGAACGATTTGTAGGTTGCATACGACGTTCAAGAGTTGTCCAAACATCGTGGGCCGTGGTGGAGGATAGAACATATGGTAAGATAGCAGGGGAGATGGTTGAGAAGAGGGATGAGATAAGATTCCTGTCAATCAAGCACCATTTGTTGTATTTGGTGCTGGAAGAATCTTGCGGGCAAGAAACTTCACCGGTGAGGAAACCGGAGAAACCATTTGCAATGAAATGTTGCAGGAGTTAAATCCGCCAGATTTGGTAGTTGTCCAATGAGAGGGGGTTGGGAACCAGATTTTTGAGATTTGAGATTAAGAACTTGAGGGGCGCCGGAGCGGTGAAGTCAAAGATGTTGCCGGAGATGGTAGGGGAGGAGGAAGGCTGAGAATGGAGAACCTTGATCAGCCATAAAGAATGCCTGTCTCTGATACCATGTGAGAACGATAGGACAAGAAGTGGAAAGAAGGAAAAATACAGAGAACAGAGAAAGTTGTATATTGAATGAATCGGTAATGGTACAGGAGCATAACTATATATAGACGAGTAGAAAGCTAAATTACAAAAGACCCTCATAGAGCTAACGTGACAGGCTTCTTGAGACAAACTACATGTAAGCATTAGAATCAAGAATAATCAATCATAATCAAGATTAACATAACATGAGGGATTTTCAAAGGAAATCCCTGAATTAACAATAAGATTAAGCACTACTTGGATCTTACTCACTTGCACTCTTAATATTGGCTAGATGGAGATAGGTTGCACAACCATTTATGACGCACAAAGTAACGGGAAGACTTAGAAAAGTAAGATATTTGGAGGTGAAATTCATCTTGATCAATATTTAAAAATGATCTGCCACTGGACGGAAGAGAGTTGTTTGTCGATAGCGGCGGCGAGGGTGAAGACAATCCTCTCAACGTATTCTTCTACGGTTTGATCAATCTCCAAGTTGAGATCAAAAAACGGTGATTTGAGGTATCAACTTGACCTTGATCGTTGTAAACAAACCCGTGGTCACGTTCTAGACCCGCCATACATGAGTGAACAGCTACTAAGAGGGATCAGGAACTCTTGGACAGCAAGGATTGGATTTATGGAGAGCAGGACAGCTGTTTCGCTTGTTGAAATTCTTTGGACAGCAGCCTAGCAATGTATAGAAAAGTCTGGACAGCAACTGTGGGATGCCGGAAGCTCTTGGACAGCAAAGGGGTGGTCTTCAGGTGGCTGGACAGCAGATCAGCAGAGTTACACCTGCTAGAAATTCAGGACAGCAGCCTTAAAGAGGTCCAGGAATTCGGGACAGCGACCTTGGAGGATCAAAACCTTGAGGTGGAAGCTATGTGGGGAGAGAGCCCTAGGGAATTAGCTTTGGAGTCATAGGGCAGCAAGTAGGAACATTGAGAGAGAGAGAGGGGAGGGGCCGGCAGTTTGCTTGGGAAGGGGCTTGATTTGGGGATTTTAATGGGATGTTAATGAGATAGGAGAGAGAGGGAAGGGTGGCAGCCTTTGATGGGCTTGATTGGGGGATTTAATTGAAGTAATAATCAATTTCTAAGTTTGGAATATTAAATTAGGAAAGGAGATTTAATTTCAATCCTGATTTAATATTCAATTGGCATGATTTGAGGGACCTTCCAAAAATAACTTCCCTTATTTTATGGCAAGCGACTTGGAGGTGGAAACGGTTGGAGGATGGGAAGATGGGTGCTTGGCCAGCGGCTGTGGAGGAGGAGGTTTGGTCGGCGGTCAATGGAGGAGGAGAATTTAGAGGAAAGAAAATAAACCATGAGCTCGAACGCTTCAATGGTGGGTGATCCGTCGTCCTCACCTAGGATTCTCACCAAAGCTCTCTCTCAAACGCCCAAGAGACAATTGCTTAAATTTTCATTATAAACTTCATTAAGCATCATAAGCATAGAAGGAGGCTATAAATAGTCCCCAAATACAATAACAAAACAAAAGAAAATAGTGCCCCTAGGGTCACAAACACCTATTCCCTCAAGTGAGGGTAAAATCGAAAAATAAATAACAATAAATTAAACACAATAAATAACTCAAAAATAAAGCAGTGTAATCGTGGTTGTCAATCATCGGCCCCGTCTCTAGTAAACTCTCCACAGTCGGATGTCCTCATCACCTACCCCTGCTAAAAATGCCCACCAATAAATTATAAAAAATAACATCCAAATAAACCAGCGAAAAAATCAGCCAAGTGTAATTTAAAAAAAAAATTGTAAGCACGGGTGGACTAACATGCACAGTCATTTGTTGCAAGAAAGCATTGAATTCTTGATTTACTATCTACAAGCACTACTCATCATCTTATGTGTATTTTGAGCTTCTCACAAACAAATCATCTTTCCTCTACTAGCTACTTAATGATAAAATCAAATTTTCTTTGTGGGGGGAGGGTGCTTGAGCAAATTTAACCGTGATTGTTAGAAGCAAACATTTAATGCACTCAATTTCTCAACTCCGTGATGGGAATCAAGGCCCACAACAATTTGGCCACAAAGCCTTGCACACAATAAGACCTTTTCCAACACTAATATCTTCAACGACGTTATAGATGAACTCTCATAAAGATCCCATAGCTTACAATTGGTTAAAGCTAAGGTAATTACAATTTACATTCTTTCACGAGCATATGCCCATGCTCCAAGTAACAAGAAACACATATATCCAAGAAGCAAAAAAGCTAGGATTATCTAATTGGCTGCAAGGTCCTTGCTTATAAATAGGAGTTCATTGGACGTGTGTAGACATGAAATTTATGATGCAATCTTTTACATTTGGCTAAAACTTTATCTCAGTAATCTCTCTCATACTATTTCAAGGATCCTCTTCATAATCTATATTTCTCTAAGGGGTCAACTAGTCTTATATAGGCTTATTCAATAAAGTAAAATCTCTAAGACTCAATCTTTCTCTCCCTTCCCCCTCTGCTATTCAAGACCCATTCATACCTATAGTAGGACCTTGGTATCTTCCATAAACAACATTAGAACCGACAGGGCAAGGGCGAGCTTTGTATATGTTGCACCAAGGCAATTCAACTTGAGGTGCTCATTTAAGGATTTGTTATGTGGAATCGGATCTGAATCGTCAATTTAATCCGTCTGGAGAGTTTCAACTCTCCAGTTACCAGAACCAAAACTGATGTAGTGGATCGTCGGAAGATCAAACCTGCAAGAAGGATTTCAAGGAGTTTCCCAATCCAGGGAAGAAGAAGAGAGCTTTCTCAAAGCTTCAAAAGAGTTTATATCATTCAATGCTTTCCCTCTTACAAAATCTCCTATTTATAAAGCAAAAGAGAATTCTTTTAAAATAGAATAATTAAGTTTAAGCACAAAAATAAATAAAAGAATAGAAGTATTGCCTTCCTAGCAGAAAGCCGAAGGGAAATCCAATAATATCGCAGCAACGGCTGTGCAAGAAGCTGTTTGACCTGGGAGTATCTAGCTGAGGATATGTGGAACTAGTTTCAGCCGATGGTGGTGATATTCGTACGGGATTGAACCGCTGGTCGAGAAGGAGCCAGTTGACGACCAAAGCGGCTGATCTAGAGAATATAACGAAGCTATTTGTGAATCGATAAAGCCAGATCAAGGCTCATGGCGCCCGGCTACCCTAGATCAACGGGGGATTTAGAAGGGGTTGATCTCGCGGAATGGCACCAGCTGAAAGGATCAAATGTAGTAAGAAACCGAGCTGAAGCTCAAAAGTGTGGCGAATATTCCAGATGTAAGAAGATGGATCGCGCTGGAGTCAGCTGGCGGCGTTGAGGTGCCGGTGACCGATCACAGGGTAGAGGTGAACGCCGGCCGCCGGGTGCGGTCAGATCAAGGTGAGTGAGGTTAAGCGAGTGAGTAATACAAATGAAAGGTAGTCAGTCTATTAAAGGTTGAATGTAAGCAAAATCTTTAATCCTTAAATGCATTGGTTTTTATTTTTCTTTTTCGTCCACGATTAACTATTCGGAAATTTTGATTTTACCAAATTGAGAGTTTAAGTAAGCTAAGCCGCCCAAGAAAGCCAAATTATTAGGTCCGGTCACGGATCTAAAAATAGGTCCGGACATCTAATAAAAATTAGCCATATGGACTGTATTTTGACTGTGCTTTTGGACTGCACTTTAACTGTGCTTTTTGACTGTGCTTTAACAGCTCTTTGACTTTGCTTTATCTGCGATTTTTTACTACGCTTTACCTGAGCTTTAAGTGCGCTTGACTGCGCTTTACCTACGCTTTTTACGCGCTTGACTATTTTTTATTGATGTCCGGAAGTATCTCTACATCCGATGACCGGACCTAATAATTTGCCCTCACGAGAGAGCTCTTACATTAAAAGAGCTCGAGTTTAGCCTGATTCAGCTTGAAAGGTCGTTAAGCTAATTGATTAATTTAAAATATATTTAAATTAATTTTATATAATATATTTTAATATTTCTAAATTAATTATATATTAAAAATTAAAAAGTTTTAATTTAATACTAAGAAATCAAATACAACAATTGAATAAAATTCAAGCTTTCTAAACGAGCTCAAGCCTATAAATTTTTAACCCTAAATCATAATTATAACATCAAAATTTTTTACAACATACAACCATTATCATCTCATTCAAATACATAATTTGATAATTTACTTTCAAGTTTAATAGGATTCATTAGTGTTGCAAATAATTTACTATGATTTAAATAATTAGATGTTAAATTTTTTAATGAATAATAAACTCAATGACACACTTCAATTTTTTTTATTTTTTTAAATTTTAGCATTACCTTTGATGAAAAATTCAAATAAAGATATTCTAATTTAAATACGATCAAAATAGTTTTTATTTTCATTACATTTGCTATGAAATTTGTTACATTCATCTTAAATTAAAATTGATACATCATTAAAAATTGTCTTGATCGGGCACAAATCTCGATACATATACAAACTAGAAACTTTCAAAATTAAAATAGAAATCATCTAAGCTCTGATTTCAACGGACTTATAACCAAATTAAACATTTCAAATAGACAAATATAACGCGTCAAAATCAGTTCAATCTGAACCCAAATCAAAGGTCCAAAGCATACTTAAAAACTTTCAAATATTAATTGGATAGCTAAATGATCATCGAATATGACATTCTTATAGTCAAATCGAGCGGCTCGACAAGACAAATCCAATGAGCTCAAGATTATCAAATTATAACATCATTAAAGCACTTAAATACTTTATCAACGGTCTATGATCGAAGGAATTGATATCAGTCATCCATCCTAACACTCCTAACTTATCGTTGATCTTCTTCATATTTATAAGCCATGACACTCCAAAAAAATTATAAATCGGCCCCCATTCTTCACATAGGAGGGGAAAGAAAAGACAGAGAAAAGGAAGGAGAGAAGAACTCTGAGGTTGAAGCTCCACCTCGACACCATTGCAGATGAATTTGCACCACTAGGTTGTCGATGTTGAATCTCTAGCCGACCACACCTTCGAACCACCATAGGAAAACCACTAACGAGCCTTCTTAAGACCATCGTCACCCCGCCGATTACGATCTTTCTTTGAACGTTGGTTGGAGATTGAATTGACCTGTACAGGATGGTGGGCCGACGGGCTTTCCTTTAAACATTGATTATGGATATATGGATGGGAGTCATAAGGAGTTCTTATAGATATGCCGACGGGCGGCCGACGGGCAATAGAGTGACGACTCTTTTTATTGAAACCAACGTATGGATATCTACAACAACAAAATGGATTCTACAACAGCAACATAGCCAGTTGATTGTACTTATTCAGTATTATTGTATTGAATGCATGTTTACTGTATTGACATACGAATTTACTGCTTTATGGATTTACTGCTTTATTGATTTGATCGGATTTATGGATTTACTGTATCGTACGATTTCATCGATTTCATTGATTGATCGCTGAGCATTAAAACTATTGAGCATTGATATGGACATTGATGGATATAGATATTGTATAGATGCATTGGTATGGACATTGATATTATAGATTTATTGATAGTATTGCATAGACTCATTGATACTATTGCTTCTGCACCATATTAGCCTGCTGCATTTGATTCATTGCTAGTATAGATTGAGCTTTATTGTACTGCTTTTCTAATCGATTTCATTGATTTGATTTGATCGATTGATTCGATACGATTGATTTGACTGATCGACGGATTCTTCTGATATTTGACTTACTGATTGATTGAGTTTGATTTATCGGTTCTTCTATCGCTGCATCGACTATTGATTTCATCGACTATTGATTTCATCGACTATTGATTTCCGTACTACATTGACTACTGATTTGATTTCCGCTGCATAGACTCATTGACCATTGACTGTTATGGATTTGATTGACTGACATGCATATTGATAGCAGTACCGTACTTTGATTTCAGTTGTAGGCTTTGGTGACCTGCTGGGCTATTTAAGCTTATTATATGTGGTTGACAAATTTCAGGTCCGAGCAAGGCAACTGGAATGGAGTTCGATCAGAATGTCAGACGAATACTTTCACTATGGATGCCTGGGGCGTCACATCCTTTGTCCACCAACTACGGTCCTCCCGACCTTCATCACCCGCCAATTATGGTCATTTTGATCTCATTCGCCTGCCAACTACAGTCTTTTAGACCTCCGTCGTCCACCGACTATGGTACCTCCATCCCCCGTCACCCAACTTCGGTCCTTCAAACCTCCATCACCCACCGACTTCTTTCAGACCTCCATCATCCACCGATTATGGTTCTTCTGACCACTATCGCCTGACTACTGCCTTTTTGACATTTATCACCCGACTACGGTCTTTCTGATCACAATTATCCAACTATAGTCCTTCCAACCTACATCACTCACCAACTATGATCATGCTGACCAAATGAACATATAAATACTGATTCTTCCAACTCTTACCATATAATGCACTCTATATGATGTATATTTGCTACATCGAGCCAAAGTCTTCCTCCTAAGAAATGACCTCATTTGTAATCAATTGCAAACACCAAACACTTGTGGATTCATTCAAACGGGACCATGCCTCATGATTTTTCTCCTTTTTAGGAGTTTCCACGTAAAAAGTTATGATGTCTCTTATGAACACTATAATCCTGCTCTCTTTTCTATTTATGTGTTGGATTTTCATATAAAGCTAAGACACTAAATTATATCACTCTCTACCGTCGCGAAATACTTCAGGATGCAAAAAAATAAAAATCAAATATAAGGATTAAATTTTTTACCTATCTTTAGTTATATTCATAATTACATGGACTCCACAGCTGTTTTCATCTTATGATTTATCTCCTCAAATAAGAAATAAACCCAAGTCATAAAGATTAGCAAAATCAAGTAGAATCGTACCTATCTATCATGAATCTATAGCTTTAAAAGCATGGGACCCCAAGTAAACATTATTAATCCTCTTCAAAATCTCATATTTAAACACCACCCTCGCCTCCTGCTTCCTCTTGTCCAATTTCTCCTATCTTTCTATTCCTCCGCATTATAATCCAAAGGAATAGAACTCGTTCTCTCAATTCCAACATGCCCTCTGCAACTTTAGCCTCCCCTTACAATATCCCCCAAGAACTGCCCTTCACCTATGAAAACTCCCTCTGCAACAACCCCCGCGACGATTCCTTCGCTTCCTACCTCGCTGTCGTCCGAGACAACTTAACGCCGGATTTCCCCATTACTCCCACCCGACTCCGGCCGACACCGCTACATATCAACCTCACCCGAAAAAGATCCGATGAAGATACCGAAATCGATATCTTCGACGCCGAAAAATACTTCAATGGCTCACCAAACACCGACCCCGCCACACCCGTTGAGAAAACCACAAATTTACCGTCGCCTTCCGTCACGCTCACTAAGTCGCATTCACTGACGTGGACAGTCGCCGGAAGCAGCTCCGGCTGCTCATCCCAAACCACCGTTAATAGCCGCAATGTCCTGCTTCGCGACCGCCGCCGGCGTGCGGTATTTGGATGTGGCGGCGGCAGAGTTTTTCATCTCGGAGGGTTGGGATTCTGGTGCTCTTCCTGTTCCCGAAAGCATGCGGTTAACGTTAATAAAGTGAATGAATCAGGAAGTATGAGTAGTGGTGATAACTTCGTCGAACAGAAACAGACCATCAGCCGGAGTCCGGTGAGCTGGAGGATAGAAACGTCGAGTCCGGCGACTTGGCCGACATCACAGCGGAGGCGGCAACCGACGCTGCCACCGCCGCCGCAGAAGTTCCTTGATAAGGACGAAGATGATCGGAGCGACTCGAGCTCGGACCTGTTCGAGATTGAGAGCGTGGCGATGAGTCGTACGGGGTATGAGCCGAGTGAGGCCAGCATAGCGTGGAGTGTGGTGACGGCGAGCGCCGCCAACGTGTCGGTGGCGTCGGATCGGAGCGTGGAGATCGGGAAGGGGAGAAGAAAAAGTGCCGGGCTTTCGCTCGCAGGATGCGCAAGTCATAAGGCGGTGGAGGTGAGCAACACGGCGGCGGCGGAGGTGGAGAGTTCGATATCGCCGGTGGTGGCTAGGTACCATGTTGACTTGGAGGCGGGTGGTGGGTCGGGCCGGATTGTGACGGGTCGTGCCAGCGGGACGTCGTGGCACGGTGGGTCGGGCCGGATAGTACCATGATCTTACACAAAGCTGCTATTCCGATTTGCGAGGATAAAAATTTCTTTATCGTGAATTTTGACGCATGATCCGTTATTTTATGTGATAATGAATTCTTTAAGGAATTTTTACCTCTATGGTGTGAAGAAGTTTTTAATAAAAATAAGAGATTACAAGACGTTAAAGAATCAACAACCCCTAAAAATACAATATTTAAAACAAAACATACGGACTATAAAAGGAAGAAAAAAGCAACCCATTGGATAACAACAAGGAATAGTTAGAAGCCCAAGAAGATAAACAAGAGAACACTAAGAAGAGCACATGAAGAAAATCACTAGGGGAGGACAAAACACATCAAAAGATCACCAACTCAACACCTCAACCAACCACACCCAAGCACCAAAAGCACATCAATGGAAACCCAACACCTAGCCACAAGAGGTTACACCAAGCAGCACACTTATAAATGAGATGGGCTAGCCAAAGCGAAACAAAAACCCAACACCCAAGCACCACCCCAAAACCGAAAGAATAACATGAGAAGTGGCTAGCCAAAACTACTTTTTTGATTTCCTCCTCCGTCGTTTACCACCCCTCAGCAAAAGTTTTTTCGATGACACGACCGACATTTAAATTATACAAAACATTAAATTCCTCCTCAAGCCCTTCCAACTCCTCCCCAGCACCATCACAAGGGGAAGAGAAGGACTCATCTAGCCAATCAAATTGGTTTGAATAATTACCCAACAATAGAGCATGCAAAGCATCATTAGAGATAAATGAAATACGCACATCAATAAATGGCATATTCACCAAAACTAGTTCCAAATGAACCAATCGAGATTCATCTAAAGCAGTAACCACGCATTAGAATCCGCATCATCCGATCCCCACCAGCAACCTGCACATCTGATACCCCAACACCCAAAGGGCAGAAGGCACATGCCCCAACATCCAAAGAAATATAGTTTTCAACGTCATCTGCTACAACCTCAACCTCATTGCCAACCTTAAGAGAGAAGGACACAATTGGAGAAGGAATTAAGTTAGTTAAATAATTATTGGCACCCAAAACTTCATTATCACCTTCTATGTTATCACAAGAAATAGCCAAAGGCAAAAATATTAGTTGACGGTGCAGCTTCAATAGCCAAAGGCAAAATATTAGTTAACGATGCAGCTTCATCATCAACATGCTCACATCAATTGCAATGTGAGCATCACAAGGACAAACATCCACAACAAAAGGGACTTCCAAATTCATATCCACATTATCCACCAAAACAACTGGTGAAAGGGGAAGGAAAGTGGCCATAGGATTTTCCAAATTTTCCACAACAACATTCACTTTTCCATCAATAATAATACGAAAATTAGGATTAACAGAAGGAAAACCTGGGGCAAAGGTAGAAAATGGGCGACAGTAACCCTTCAAATTCCCTAAACATTTATAATGACCACAATTGAGAGGGAAAACCTCCATCTAAACACATTGAATGTAACTAAATTTCACAGGGCCTAGCCCACTCTATCAGGATATTTTTTTTGTAATGTCAAGCTCAGCTAATACGCTAGTCGCTAAGGGACAGGAGCCCACAGAGGTGGACTAAGAAACTTTAAGAGGATGACCAAACAATGAACCCAGAGCATGAATGATACGAGATGAGAAAAAGGTGAGGCTGCAAGTTAGCAAAAGAGACCTATATAGTGATGATCGGAGACTCCACTCCAATATTGAAGAAGGGTGACCATTTTGGTCAATTTCATGTAGCACTTGTTAACAAAATATGATATGTAGGAGAAAACATGGTTATAATCTAGATCATTAACTAACTTAATGAGAATATGCGAAGGATTTAGCAACGTCACCGAAAATTTTCCGATGAGCTTTAGCTTAAAGAAAAAACTTCTGAATAGCATCAAGAAAGGGACGACGTGTAGGAATTTTACCAACCAAAGTAAACTGAAAAGGAGCCATTAGGGCGGCTCCTCTGAGATCCAAAGGGACGGAAAACCACAAAAACTCATCGCTTTGAGGTCAGGGAAGTTTGCATCCAAAGAGCTGAGCTACTAGAGAGAGCATCAAGAAACGGACACGATTTAGATGATCCCACCAAGAAACCAGGATCAACCATGCGGTTCACCACCATTCCAGTCCCAAAGGGGCCGGAGGTTGACGAACCAAAAAACAAAACAATAAAACACAGGAAGGCCAAACAAAAAGAGAGAAAAATCACTTCCCTAAGAACTACAATAGAAGAAGGGCCGTCGGGAAAGCTAGGGAAACCGTAGAAAAGCTTGATTGTTGGTTGAGTCAAAATGTGTGAGTCAATGTGTGTGTATGCGTGTGTATTCTTATATTCATTTTCCCAAATTTAGGTTATAGTATATTAAATACTTTATAAACAAATTAGATGAATCTTATTTTGTGTTGGATGTTTTTTTTTTTTAATTGTGTGCTATGGGTTTGTAGAGATAGAATTTAGGTTTTATTTGGAACAGTTTTTCAATTGCGTATTTGATAAAGAAAATAGTTATTAAAACATAATATCTATAGATTTTTTTCCTTTAAAGTTATTTTTGAAAAAAATATTTTTAAACTTTTGATTAATAACGAAGCTCTAAAAATTAAAAATGAAAGAGATTGAATGACGACTTAAGTTGGAGGGTGATTGTAGGAAGTCATGTTGATCTTTCTCCTTCAAGAGGACTTAGTGATTTAATTAGATTTATCGGGGAGATTAATGGACGATTGAGGTAAACTTTTTCATAAAAGAAGGGATGAAGTTAGTGGCATGAAGTTAAAAACTTGTAATAGATCAAAAAATATGAATAAGTAGATATATATCACAAAAAGTGGTAATCAAAACTAAAAAATTACCTAAAATACATAGGTTATTCTTTTATTTAAAAATATGAAAAAAAAAAATTGTGGTTGATTTGAGCAATTATTTTAACTTTCCTCCTATGAAATAATATTTTTGTCATGATGTGATTGTTATTATTAAGATATAACTCTGAAGATATTTACACGTATATATACTAATTTTATGCTTATTTTTAAATAACTGACAATATTTTTTTTTTAAATAAAATCGCCGCGTAATCAAACAAAATAAAAATATTATCGTGGGATTCGAGGGGGGGCTTTTTTAAAATGAATAAAGAAATGAAAATCGAATGAGATAAATTAATATTAACAACCATATAAAAATAGGGATCGGATGATACGTTCCTATTCAGTGAACAGAACGACTATCGTCTATTTTTTTGTCGAAGATTAAGGGTGGAGAGAGAATGAATCGCTTGCAACGAGATGTCGAGATGGGCGGATTCATCACGCCCACTCGTTCCTCGATACGCCGTACGAATTACAATGCAACAGTCTCATTAAACGCTCGACTTGGCCACCGCCTCATTTTCACGTGACACATTCATTTCTTGGGATTTATAATCAAAATATTAGTTATGACCGGGAAAAAGGGAGATTATTCTATGCGGACACTGGGCGGGAGAACCGTCTGGTTCTGCGCTTTGTATTGAGTGGTACCGAACGCGATATATTTTTTGGGGCGACGTGGCACATTTTTATTGGTCTTCGGACCGATTCGGGCCCGCACCTAATAATTTTCGTGAAAAAAAGGTAAGGGAACATGTTAATACTCTGTGTGAATGAGCACATCATTTTGAATTCATAAAAGCAAATTATTATGATCCTCAATTTAGATTATGGGACAGTTTTTTTAATTTAATTGTCACATAATATCTCGTATAATATTATGTTAGCTTCAAAATTTATAGGTTATTAAAATATGCACTTAATTAAATATGAATATCATAAATAACCAATGATCATTCAATGTTAATGATCACGACTATTAATCGCCATTGCTCAACTTTAGCCATTAATTTGCCCACCATCCCCAAATTATCTTAGTTTATCCGATGTCATTCAACCACAGTCATCTAATCATTATAGCTCTACCATCTTAATACCTCCATAGACACATTTTCTATTGCTTAGTTCTTCCCAGAATATTTTGATTTTGTGAAATATGTTCTTACTGAATTATAATTTTATTTGAGATTAAGGATGTGTAAAAATATTTGCCACGGTTTTTTAGATCTTCCTAGATTTCATGGGTAGTATCCAGATAAGTAAAATCTAAGAAATAATCATGTTGTTATTTTTTGTCTAAGCATGTGCAAGATTTGAATCTATAGCTTATGACTTTTAATAGATTTTTCAAAGAAAACTAAACTTATTCTTATGCTTTGTTTGGAACAGCTTTTTATTACTTCTTAAAACAAAATTTTAGTAAAATTTTTGTATTAAAACTCTATTTTAAAAGCCGTTCCAAATGTACTAAAACTCTTTTTTAAAAATCATCCCAAATAAAGTCTTAGTTGATAGCGCAATCTTCATTGCTCTCCTCCAAGATGATTAATTTCTGTCAAAGAAATAGAAAATATATAGGAAAGAATATAAAAGAGGAAAGCTATTTTATTATCTTTTCATGTAAATAGGTTAAAAGGTTCGAGCCCACTTATTTATAGAAAAATAAGAGAAGTTTAAGAGATGCAGAGAAAATAACTATGGGAAAAAAAGCAATATGTGCAAAGCTAAAACTATGGCGCCAGATTAATAAAAGAAAAAAATGAAAAATGCTAACAAGTTCTAGGAGACAAATTCCAATGATAAGATATATAGCCTTCCTTAACCAGATTTATAATAAGTTTGGTAGCTAGCTAATTCTTTCAGCAAATTATTGTCCATGATGAAAACAAAATTCTACCGGTAACATAAATGCATGGTGGTGGATAAAAAAGTTTTAGGTCGGAGTGAGTTGTCTTGCTTTAATTACCAATATTCAATGCAATATTTATATATAATTGTTGATGTGCACATGCATTTACACTTAAAGAGAAGAATAATATGAATGATACGGGACATATATGCATGGTGCATGTGTTTGATGTACACTTAGTTAGATCTGTTTGGATCGATGTGTGACACTCATCTTCAGTCTCATTCACATTCTTCTCATATTATTATTATATATATACATTGAATAGATTGGCTTCACATTATATGGTCCACTACTCGCTCAAGTAGCTAGGCACCTCGATCACCTTTTTTTGAGAGGCAG